ACAAGTGTTATCTGATGAGTTCTTGTCACTCTGATTATCACACCATAATTCACAGAAAACAGCAATGTCCCATCTCAGTTGACCGGGTGTTATTTACAACAGTCCTGCAGGATTCAGAGACAGGGGAATGTGCACAGCTTCCAGAATCAGCATTGGCAGCTCAGAAATACTCATATTAATACTCATATTAATACTCAAATTAATACTCATTGTGTGTCATAGAGATTTTTTAATCAGTAGACTGAATTCAAACAAAAAATTGCTGTATCAAAATCATGCATTGTATCATATACAGATTTAATGGGAATAGATGTTTATTTTAAATAAATCCAAATGCCACTTTTGTCCCACTTCCACCACAGTGCTGAGCTACCAGCCCATGTTGCTCATGTTTAGGTAATTAGGAAATTTTTGAAGGGCAGGAAGGAGCTGCAGTGGACTTCCAGCACCTTTCAGGGTACAGATGGAGTTAGAGAAAGCAGAGGAGCTGGGGAAGCTCCTCCTGGACTTGGGATGCTCATGTAGGACTGAATATCCCAAATCTTCATGATCCCAGCCTGTCACTGGCTGGGCAGGTGGACAAGGAGTAGGCTTGGCCTTTTATTTGGATGAAATATTTTTAAAAGCTAAACCCACATATATTAAGGATTAAATTACTCCTGGGAATGCACTCATTTTTCCTGATAAAATAAAAAAGACAATAAAGCATCAAAATTTGATGTCATGGCTGTTAAATTCTGTAATTTTATACTCCCATTGATCAGAAAATGAATTTATGGTCTATGTGTTTTCAGCATTGTAAAAGTCCACGTAATTTAATTGCTAATCTAAGGTCAAAAGTGAATTAGCATAATAATATCTGAACTGCACGGCCCTWAAATCTCCTGATAGGCATCTTTCTGACTCCTGCTATTATAAAAACTGTTCCCATTGGTTCTTGACCCTATTAAAGTTGTTCCTAGATAAGCTTTGCAAAGGTAGTCTATGAGAGCCTGTCTGAATAAGCAGTCCTTAGATGATGCTCTCGTGCTAGTGGGACAGTGGCTTTTTTGTGAGATATTAACCCTACAGACAGAGCCTGCACCAATCCTGATGCTTGTTAGGATTTCCCCTTTGGTTTCATAAATTTGCTAAAAAGTCTTACTGCTTTTCTTCAGAGTCCTTCCTGACAACATTAAGTTATACATTCAAAGCTATAAAATTATTTGGGGCTGGGGTTCCCCCCTCCCCTTTTATCACCTGCTATTGTAGTATTCATGTAAGTTGTGTTTCACTATTCAGCATTTAGGTGCTTTTGCTGTCCTGGGTTCATTAATTTTTGCCTTTATTTATTCATTAATGCCTTCTCTTTGTTCTGAAGGCTTATTAGCTTTAAGGGCTACTTTTGCCACAAGTATTTACATCTTGTTTTTTTTTCTTAAAAAAAAAAAAAAGCCAACAGCCACTTTTCAGGGTGGCAAAAGGCTTGTAACAATGATGTRAGAAATACATGTAATGCCATCATGTGTCTTTGGTTTTGGGAGGATTTGATCCAGGGGGGGGATTTCAGGCACCTGGCTCTGACAGTGGAATCTGGGCTTGTGGCTCCTCTATTGTAAAATGCAGGGGAGAATTAGGAAACTCAGAATTAGGAAACTCAGAATTAGGAAACAGAGATGAAGACAAGGGTAAAGYGACCAGAACTAGGGTCTTGTTGGAATCTGCTTAGGATTCCTTTGATTTTTCTTACGGTTGTATTTCACAGCAAGTCTGGGAACACCAAAGCTCTGTGTCTGTGAGTGAAATGCAGCCACACCTGCGTTTGGAGCTCCTGTGGTCATCTCAYGGATAGTTTCATCCATGCACAGGTGCATAGGAGCCTGTAAAAACCTTTCTTTTCATCTGGACTGAGGAACCTCAGCACAATGCACCATTGTACAGCAAGATCCCTGTCTGAGGTTTTAGAAAGAAGTGGAATATTTCTGCTTCAGGCCCCRTGGTACAGTTAGATTTGTTAAAATAATCCAGCTTTTGCCCCAGGGCGGGCAGCCCAGCTGCAGGATCACATTTCAGGGCTGGAGAATYGGGGTCAGGCTTCCCATCCCTCCAGGCTGGCCAAAGTCATTTGCAAAGCGAGGGTGACCCGAGCTCTGCACCTCCGCCGCGGCGATGCAGYGTATCAGGATAATGATGAAGGCATTTCGGTCTCTTGGAGAAATGTCATTTAATTATTCATTGTGAGCTGTTGGGTGAACTCTGCTGGCTGGGTCACACACGCTTTGAGCTGGTTCGTCAGCAGAGCAAAATACAGGAGGGAATCCAATACAGTGCCCCTGCCTGCTGATTATTTGCTTACTGATCCGTGGAAAAACACAAACATAATGGGCATTAAACCAGCTATTGAAGTTAGCATTAGTGACTAGCTCTGCCACATGGGAGGCAGAAAAATGTTAAGAAAAAAAGTGGTTTTTAGGAATAAGTCACACTTGTTTTTYTACTGCTGCTATTTACTTTGAACAGCTTTAGGGGGGTCCTTTTGATGCTAAGAATTCAGGGACTAAGGGTGTGATTGGATAGTGTTTTCATTGGCATAGTTCAAATGAAATCAACAGTTTGCAACTAAGGGCAGGATAAATGCAGTGCCAGAAATTGCGAGTGTGACTAAGTGCAGTAAGGGAGTGCAGGTGTGGATAGTTCATCACATGGCTAAAAAAAAAAACAAAGTAGAAAATAACCACGGTATCAAAAAAAAGAAAAAATGGAGGGGACGCAGTTACTCATTTAGGTGATCTTTTATTTATAGGAAATAATATTTTTTGAAACACCAGGTGCATGTCTTGTGGTTTAGAACTGGGAAGAGTTCCACTTAGGCATGCATTTGCAGAACCTGCCAAGGTATAATCTTTGCAGATTGTTAAAGCACTCCATGAAAACAACTGAGATCCCAGCAGTGAAAAGATAAAACCAAAGCCCATTGTGTAAGCAGTTAATTTTCTGCTAAGAGCAGTTTTCTGTGCAGGAAAGGGAGAGTGTATCTGCTGAGGTCTAGCAGAAAGAGCAGTTCTCCAGAAGAATTGAGCGGGCGAAGGCTGTGCGCACAAAACTTGTGCCACACCTACTTGTAGCCATCCAAGGAGAACAATTTAATTACTTAAAAACTGAGAATGGGCATGGAGTCCTGATAACTTTCAGCAGGAAGACTAAAGGGTTCAAAAGCTGGTCAGCCTCAAATCACTAATTATAATCATCTCTGTAATTGCAGAAAAGTACCGCAGCTGGGAGGTGATTATACACCTCAGCTCTCCTTTTTAACCTTGTGAGACAGCACCCTATTATCTTCCTTTTATTCCCTTCCTTATCCCTTTCCTCTTTCCTTACCTTTGCAAGGGAAAAAAAAAACCCTGAAAAATTATTGAGCTCCACAAAATGCAATGGAATTTTCCCTTTAAGTGCCAAGGGCTGGAGGTGGGGAGGGGAAGGAGCAAACTTCCTCCCTTCTCTTGTGTGTTGAGTGCTCACAAGTTGGCTATGAAATTAAATACTTCAGGTTTTGTGAGTGGCTGGCAGGAAGCAGGGTCAGTATCATGCTGTCATTAGCAAGAGAGGAGTGCACAGGGGTAAGAAATGTTCAACAAAGATGCTTCACATTTCAAGTGTTCTTTTTCTGGGAAAAAATGGTACCGTACATCTAGTTTTGAGTGTACATATAACCTTATACTATATTCGCACAATAAAGCAAATCTTTATAAGCAAACAATTTTCATGTTTCAAAAATATAAATGGTGGAAGAATTGATTACATTTCAGATTACTTCTATCTATCAAGGATGTTCAAGTATTTGAAAAAGAATGCAAAACTTGAAAATAGAGAGTGGTACTCGTTTTTCTGCAGAATACTGCAGGTACTCGTTTTTCATAACCCTGAAACAATTTGAAGGTAGAATTTCTGCTTTTGCAGAAAATCCCTGTGGCCCCTGCTCATGGCCAGCCATTAGCCTTGGACGCTAAAAAGGTGGCAAGTCACCAGGTTCTTCCCAGGACAATGAGATTATGGTTTTGTGAGACRATGTCATCAAACTGTGAGCCATAATCAGGGACACACCGAAAASCAGTGGCRTTTGGRACCTGCYGRAACACATTTTRCTGACATGAAGAAYTAGGGGGGGTCCCCTGCATATTGTSCTTCTGGGATGTAAAGAAAACTTTATATTTTTGTGTGGAGAATCAGAGCTGTGCRCTTTCATTGCCCTCCAAAGAAACAGGCTGGAGATAAAATCATATGAAATCCTGGACTGCTCTTCAGTATCTGCTAAACTGCTGTGTCAGACATCAGGAGAGCAGAAAACCTGTGTCCTTCAAAGGCACAATCTCCCCATCTCARAATACAAGGCTTCTCTGTCCTTACATCCCTTGGAGATCCCTGCTGGGTCAGAACCCTGTAACATCTCTAATAATGACTGGAAAGGCAGGACAGGAGCTCTCAGGAGCTTTGCAGGTGTTGGCACACTGATAAGGTGGCAGGGCAGGTCCAGGGAGACCTTGGTAAGCTGGAGAGAAGAGCTGACAGGGACCTTCCGCACAGCAGAGGTGACAAATGCCATGCCCAGCACCTCGGGCAGAAAAATTGCGGATTTAATATCATCTGGGGGGGGGGGATCAACAAGCTTTTGAGAGGCTTTGCAGAAAAATACCTGGGATGGTTTCATTTCTTATTGATATCTCGAAAAGCAGTTGTGCTGTGGGGAGCATTTTGGGGAAGAGTCACAAGCCAGATTCTGGGTGAACTTTGCCTTGTCCTATGTCATCACAAAAGCTACATTAAATTTTGTTAGTGTGTCTCTAGCCTGGCTAGCCTGTCTCTAGCCTCTATAGGTGGTTTGGTTATTCCCTTGAAATACTCAAATTTTATTGAATGGCTAGGTTCAGAGTAATTTATGCCATGAGCAYTTACCAGCAAGTAACTCACTGTCATGTTTCCCATCCCAGGGGTTTTTATGTGCATTATGTGGCTGTTTCTTGCAGAGGCTGAAGGAGCTCAAACAGAGGGAGTTTGCTCGAAATGTAGCGTCAAAGTCACGAAAGGATGAAAGAAAACAGGAGAAAGCCCTTCAACGCTTGCACAAGCTGGCTGAGCTAAGGAAAGAGAGAGCGTGGTGAGTACACAGCTCCTCAAACATAAAAAATRCTTTAAAAGAAGCTCTCCACTGCTAGCTGGTGCTGTGGGATGCGGGACAGCCTTGGCTGTAGCCACACACACGTGTTTTTAGGGCGTTCTGGAAGCGTTCTGTGTACAGTATTTGATTCACACAGTGTGCAGAAATGAATGTTTAACGTTGCTTTTTCAGCTGAGCTAAAATGACACATATTTTTAGTTTCAAAAARGATGTGTTTCATATATATTTCATAAAACCAGGCACTTTGGTTGAAAGCTGAGTGAACTAGGTCACGCATTTGCAGGCTGACACTACTTCATTGATGAGGTGAGGAACACAGTCTGTCTCYCTAGGATGTAACAGATCTCTGCGATTTAGTTTTCAAAATGCTCTCCTGGGAAAGCATCCAGAAACCTAGCTTTAAACCTCAATAGCCGGATTTTTTATATTAAAAGGTAAGTGCTCCTTTTCCCCAGCTCAGCAGAGTGTTTACCTCCCTCTGAAAAAGTGACTCCTTGCTACTTGTACATTTTATTATTSCACCTAGGCAAGATGTTGAAATTAATACTGAGCTGAGTAGTTGGGACTGATTTTTCAAAACAGGACATAGTTCTGACACTGATAAGCTACTGAAAATATATGTACTTGTCGCAGTGYAATCTGTGAAGAAAAAAAGAAAGAAAAAATTAGATGCTCAAGCACAAATGTTTTCTCTTTATTCAGCGCTGGCCTCCCCGGATGAACTAACAGAGCAGCCCAGCCAARCTGCAGCTCTTGTTCAGAAAGTGTCTCTTTGTCCCTTGTTTGAATGGTGGGCAACATGCTGAAACAAAGTGTGAGTGAGCAGGTGGATGGGACATGAATGTTGTTGGACAGGAGCAACATGACACCTAATTTTTAAACCTTTTTATGATAACTTGTGTGGAGCTCTTTCTCTTCCATGAGGGTTTCACATGTCCGTATTTTATACTTGAGTATATTAGATATCATCCCCCCCTAAACAAGCTCCAAAATTTGAATTTCATATATTTCATGAGGAAGAGGAAAGAGGAACTTACTGTTTCCCTTTTCCCATGTTATGAAGCATGGATTTTGCAAGCCTTTGTTGTTTCAGGATTGTTTGGAATCCTTCTGCTAGTTCCTGAAGGAGAATTTCTATCTGAGCTTTATTTATCTATTTCATAATTGCTGTTTACTACCACTTTGCATCCTTAGAGGTGTGATATAGACAGATTTTTTAAACTGGCATTTTCTAGGCTGGTTTTGTAGAAGTTACCCTTTTATTCCATGTGAAAGGATTTGTATGAGGGTTTAATATATATTTCAAATTCATGAAGAATTGGGCAAGGCAGGAATTCTCATGAGAAATTCCTTTCTCATAAAACCTCTACCTTAATTTCTAGACCCAATAAAGTAATTATTCTTCATCTCAGCACTTCTTGGGGTCCTAAACGACACTTGCAAGTTTTACCAGTGACTCATCAGAGAATATTGCTCTGCACTGTAACACAGAGTAATTTGGTTAAAACAAAACAAACAAATGGTTTTAACATAGGTCTATTACTCCTGGTGCTGAGCAGTTCCTGTGTATCCTGGAAAACTGTCAGCTTAAACACTTTCTGCTCTTCTCTTTGCTTCCTATTAAGTCAAATAGAACAGATGGGAAGAGGACATGTAATGAAGAACAGAAGTAGACAGTAATAATTTTTTTCTCAAGAGGGATGAATCACTTACTTCACTTCTGTCAGCTGAAATACTCCCGCCAGTTTTATTTTTCCATGACAGAAATTGCTGAGATGGCGATGGTTTGGTCTGTGCACACAGATAGGATGGGAGCTGCTGGGGGATTGCCTGCGGGCAGAGCAGCAGTCCCTGGAGTGATGACTGAGGGGGAAGTGCTCTGTGAGGCATTCTCTGTTTTAATGTGTTTTGTAGCACGAAGGGTGTAAAACTGCTTTCTGTAGTAACAGAGGTGTAACCATGGCGTGGGTCTGCTGGGAGGAGAAGCAGGATTTCTGTGGAGATAGACAGTCTCTTGCTTAGCCAGGCAGTGTGTCTAGGAAAATTAGCTACTTTGTAGGAATACTAGTCCTTCAGCTGATAACTTCACATGAATGAGATGACAGTGGCATAATATTTACTCATTCCTTTTTTTAGTACTAGCCAAGTGATCTTTATTATAAAACATGGCATTTTTTCATAGTCTAAAGGTACATATCCACAGAGTCTTCCTCTTTCCTTAAGAACATCTTAAATACCAATGTAATTTCATGGTTCTGTCAGCAGCTGTCTGAAAGGTACTGACTCAAAGTTGTATTTTCCTTCCTAGCGCTCCTGGAAGCGGCCCTATGTTCAAATCCACCACGGTGACCGTGCGAGATGACTGCAGCGATGTCCCCAACAGTGCTGCCGTGGATTCTGCCAAAAGCCAGGATTTCAGCTGCACACTAATGCACGATGCCCAGAACTGCAAAGACGTCGCTTCTGTTGTTTCCTCCACTCCCGGAGATGCAGGCAGTCATCATTCCGACACTAACAAATGTGGAGATCAGGTSCAAGGAGCTCCAGGACACAGGGTTGGCTTCTCCTTTGCTTTTCCTAAGAAAGCAGCAGTCAAACTGGAGTCTTCAGCTGCTGTTTTCTATGAGTTTAAYGACGACACCTCCATGGAGCATGGATTTAGCAGAAGGAGTAGGTTTGTTCCGGGAACGTGTAACCTTCCATCTCCGTCGGCAGCAGAAATAGTTGTATGCCCTGAGGAGAAACACAACTGTTTTCACCCACTGGTGGAGAAATGCATGGACACAGCAGAAGCTCCTGAAGCTCAGGAGCCCAAAGAGCCGTGCAGTGAGGAMGGCAGGGTGYTGGAGAGCCCYGSTGCAGCTCCTGCCATRTCCCACCCAAAGCAGGCAGTGTCCYTGGACACGGATGGCCACGGTGTGGATGGAAGCACGGCCGACTCTGGGGAACAAGCACTGCCCCTGGCTGCAGACAGTGCCCAGCTGCTGCCCCTGGATGGCAGTGGGCATGAGCTGCAGGCAAACCGAGCTCCTGTGCAGGATCCTGTGGAGGATTGCTCCTCTCTGCAGGACACTGCGGAGGAAAAGGATACAGATGGGAACGGTCATCCATCTGCAACTGAAACCAAAATAAAAAATCTGGGGGCAGATGCAGTCGTTCCGTCACCCTCTGAAGAAGGTAGCGGAGCCCCAAAAAGCAAACCGGACACGTACAAGAGACCTTGTCAACCCTTTGTTCCCGTTCTTAGCAAATATGGATCAAATATTCTTCAGTGGCCATCAGAAATGTTAATTTACACAAGTACAGACCCATCAATTTCCTATAGCTGTAATCCTTTATATTTTGATTTTAARTCATCGAGAGCAAGTGACAGCCAAGAAAAGCCCAAGCATCAACCAAACATACCTCATTTGCACCATAAAACTGAATCTAACCATATCTTAGTCTCGGATTTTACAAATAAACCTATTCCAGAGTGTGGTGATTATGAAGTAGAAGTGAATAAAAAAGTGTGCAACTGTACAATACCCCTATTAGGTGATGTTTCCCTCTTCAGAAATTGTGACTTTGCAAAAAATGAAAACAAAGTGTCCTTGGAYGAGTCATTCAGGATCAGAAAAATAGAAAAGTATCACTTATCAAAAAACCCATTGCGACAGAACACTGTGATAGATGAGAAATACAACAAAGTCTGGATCAAAGAAAGTCATGAAAAATGGCTYCACAAAAGCAGGAAACGGAAAAGAAGAAAAAAATTATGTCACTGTCATTATCATCATTGTGGGGACACAACAGTARCAGAAATGGAGATGTCTCCAGTAACCGAAAATGAAGTTAGTTACAGAGATGAAAATAAGTATCAGCACCTCCAAAATAATGCAGAGAAGTGCAGACATGATGCAGGGAATATCTGGTTGACTGCAGGTGAGGTACAGCAGTCACATCCAAAATTTGGCTTTGAAAATTGCCCTAAGAGAGCCATCTCTGCATCAGATCACATACACTGGGACAGAGGCTGGTGTGACTTCTGGAGTGCAAAAAATAGCGGCCAACACCGTGGTTGTAAAGGACCACACCGAAAGAGCAAAGCAAACTCCCGGAGGCAGGCAAAGCAGCAGACTCAGAGYTCCAGGAGGCACAGCCTGAGGCACTCCAAAACATGCTGCAGCTGGAAAGTCAGGAGGTCAAGCTGTAGCCCAGAGCATAAATGTTTAGGACAATGTAGTGAGGAGAAGGGACCAAGCCAGAGCCAGCCCATAAAGAGAAGTTGCAGTGTTCTGACAGAGGAACCTGAAAAACCCCASCGCAAGCGGAGGCAGCACACCTACTCCTCTTCCTCAGATGAGAGCTCGTGTGGACAGACACTATCAGCAGAGGAGTATCTGAGGGAAACACGTGCTTTAGGTACATATCACAAGGCAAAAGGGAAACGCAGGAGAAGGAAAACTAGAATCCATCACGTTCTCCTTGACAGGAATGCAAAGAGTGAGACCTCTGACCCTTCCAAAGAAAATTCTGCAAATTCTACGTCAAATATTTTGGAGGACTCATTGACTCGAGACAATCTAGAGGAAACTAATGCAGATCCCAAAGATGACGATGCAAAAGACAGGGATGAAACAATGGAGCTGGAGGACAGCAAGTCACCTCCAGAACCTGCTGGCCCCCAGGTGCTGGAAGACGACAAACCGATGGTGTGCACGGAGATGGAGAATGCACCAGCCACGCTTCCTGATGCCATCACAACTCCATCAGGAGCTGCTTCTGCTCCTGAGCACAGTGCTCCCGCCGCTGCTGCCAAACAGGRTATCCCGCAGGAGGCAAAGAAAAAGGAAAATGTCAACAGCCGTGAAAACCAAGCTCGTTACAAAGCTCCCGTCCCCAACAGACACCTGGAACAAGCTCCTCCTAAATCCTATCTTTGCCACTATGAATTGGCCGAGTCCCTGGCGCATGAGAAGGTGGGCGAGGTGGCCGGCGAGTGGGTGCAGTGTAACCCCGGCATTTTCAGCAGCTCGCCGCCCTTGCCGTTCAAAGAAGCACACAGCCACACCTTTCTGACTGCGGAGCAGCTGATAGCCCCCTTCCCCCTGGCCGAGCAGGCGCTGATATTCCCYGCGGACGGCCCCGACAAGTTCAAGGAGCTGCCGTCGGAGGCGTTCCAGCAGATGGTGCCGCAGGCCGTGCTGGCCGGCAAGGTGAAGTTCGCCTTCGGKCCCCCGGGGCTGCAGCCGCCGGGCTCGCCGCTGCCTCCGCTGCCGCTGCAGCCGCCGCTGTGCTCTACCTCGGTGACCACCATCCACCACACGGTGCTGCAGCAGCACGCCGGCACCATCAAGGTGCTGCAGCCGCAGCAGCAGTTCGTGTCGCAGGTGCCGGCGCTGTCCCGAGCGCCGCTGGCTCCCGTGGCCGTGGGGCCGCGCCTGTGCCCGGCGGGACACGCCGCCTTCGTGGCCCCGCCGCACCTGCCAATGCTGCCGCCCTCCGTGCTGCCCCCGGCCCCGCTCGCCTTCCCCCCGCTGCCCCACAGCGTCTTCCCGTCCCTGCTGGCCCCGCACCCGGCCGTCATCCCCCTGCAGCCGCTCTTCTAGGGCCGCGCTGCGGGAAGGAGCCTTCAGCTGCACGGGCCTGCCGGTCCCAAAGTCCCTAAACTCAGCTTCGCAAACCTGGGAACTCAATTAAAATTCCTCCTTCCTTTACTGTAAGTATAATGATGGAAACATTCATGGCAAGTTCAGACCTATACTATAACTAAAGCACTGAATAGTCYGATACTAATTACGAACTGTATCTATATATATGTGAAAATCATGTCTTAGAATATGTATAATGTATATAAAATATATTTATAGTTCTATAACTTATGTTGTAAAGTATTCACTTTTTGTTTTTTATCTTTGTGTATTTGCACCTATTTAATGTTTAGACAAAGCCGATGCACTATGTTTTGTACTATGTTCTCTGAAACTGTAAATCTAGTGACAAACTATCTCTTGCAATAAATTTTTGTTAACTACTTAAGTATATCAAAAATCTTTCATTATAAGCCTCAYGTATGTTGTTCTTCCATGTCCTTCTGCAGCTGAATAGCATCCTCCCCCCCTGCTCTGCTGGGATAACCAGGTTTCCTACACGTCAGTGATTTATCAGGGAGGCTCAGAGGCCAGTACCTTGAGGGCAGCTGTCTCACCAAGCCAGAGAGAAAGGGTAATAGATGTGTTTGTGCGAGCRGCTTGATGTCACCGTGACAAATCTTGCCTACTTGTAGTATGTGCACCAACTGCTGAGTGGTGGRGCTGATCCCTTTTATTCTGAACCACAGAAAGACAATGGAGCAAATAGAACACCGGCAATGGAAGGGGAGAAAAGGATAATGTTGACARCAGCTGGCTTTGAGGGGATGTTGCTGGCAGGGGAATGGTAAAGCCGTGGTTCCACTGAACAGTTTCTCTGCTGGCCCACGGATCTGTTGGAGCGATGTCCCTGCTGCTGGGCAGTGTGTGAAGGCAGCGAGAACAGGGGAGCATGAAAGGGAGGTCAGGGAACCCACCAGGATTTGACACAAATTCTTACCTCACTTCACCCCCCCTACTTCCTGCAGCATTTTGCTAAAGAAATAGAGTAATGCAGAAGAGAGATTAATTAAACTCGTAATATATTGCCATTGTTTCTAACTGTGTTTCAGAGACTTCTCCCTACCTCTGCAGCCTTTCTATTGCTGTCAAACCTCACCCAGCTGTAGCTGGTGAAATGTTCTCATTTGCTTCAGCGTGAGGTATATCAGACCCMTGCCTGTGACAGTCCAGAATAAAAGCAGAAGTCGTTCGGAGATAGAGCCATCCCTTTGAGTTAAAATGAAGTGTTATCACGTGAGTCAAGCCAAGGATTTTCAGCATGAAGGGTAGTGCTAGAAGCAGGCCCTCCATAATAAAAGGTGATAGATAGCTCTCCCAATTAATTACTTCTTTTTACCTTTTTATATCCTATAATAAAATCATATAAAGTTGAAATGAAATAATAGTGAATTTGAAGTATTAATATACATTGCATATTAATAGCTGCAGACATTAACCATTTGCARAGTAATGCTATATCCTACAACATATATATCTGGATCTTATTTTCTGCATCTATAGCATTAGAACTTACCTGTATTGATACTGCAGGTTTTAGTATAATACTGCATTAGAACTATGGCAAACAGTATCTTGCCACTATGATTAGAGTCAGCTGCTCAAGGGATGTGAGTTTTCCGTGTTGTGCAGTTACAAAGGGCTAAATTATGCTAATAAGCAAAAAGTTGATAAGAAAGAGCAAATGGGCAGCCCGAGTGTGGAGAGTGCCCAGAGCTCTCCCTGCTGAGGCTGCAGCAGGGAGGGGGATGCTGCTGAGCACCCACCCCTGAATTCAGAAGGAAGGTACAATTTCTCTGCTTCTAACTTCAAGTGGATGTCCATTTCTATTTATGTGGTACCTAAAAAATACAGGACTCAGTGACTTTATGCTGCTCCTTTATTTGAAGAGTCTGCTTGCATAAGGTGTGTGTCTCCAGCCCCTCCTGTCAGYGAGACAGGGATCTCTGTGGGAAGCGGGAGGGTGTGTCCTGGGTGACCTGGGTCCCTTGGGTGCCGCGTGCTGGCTCCTGCCTTGTGCCCTCCTCATGGGAGTCAGCACAGGCTGTCCCCGGGGCCCTGATGTCCCATCAAAGACAAAATCCATCTCATTATATAGCAGTGCATTAAAAAAAAA